CCACTTCCTCCTCCTCTTCCTCCTCCTCGTCCTCCTCCTCACTCTCACGGGCGGCCCCGCCGGTGAAGCCGGAGCGCTGCCGCGAGGGCGAGGCCTGCGGCGGCCCTGCGGAGGAGCGGCCCGGGCTGGGCGGCGCGGTGCGGCCGCTGCGCCGGGCCGCCGCCACCTCGGCCCGCAGGCAGCCCAGCTTCTTGATGTAGACCTTGCGGGTGGTGGCGGTGATGGGGCCCGGGCGATAGCCGAGCGCCAGCAGCTCCTTGCGGAGCTCCGCGTCCGTCAGCTCCGCCATGGCCGCGCCAGGCCCCGCCGGAAGCGCCCCGCGGGCGGGAAGCGACGCCGCCATCTTGGGAGGGGCCCCGCGCGCCCCTGGCGCCGCCATGTTGGGAAGGGCACGGGGCGTGTGGGGAAAGGGCGCGGGGGCGGGCGCCATGTTGGGAAGGTCACGGGGGGGTGCGAGCTCCGTGTCCTGAGGGAGGAGCAGCTCCCGCTGTGCGCTGCTCCCTCGGGGCCGGGGAAAAGCGGGAGAAATGGGGAAAGCAAAGGGCGAAAGCTGCCTCATCTGCGCGACGAGCCGGTGTCGATGATGGGTTGTCCCCCATCTGCTCCTGGAGCAGCTCCCGTCTCACTCACCCTGATGTTCTGACATTTTTAGGGCCATTCTCGCAAAAAACGTCCCTTTCCCAGCCACCTGCCACCCCCACACACGTCTCCATCATCGCTGCCCACTTGCTGAGCTCTGCCAGAACCTCAGGCAGGACCAGGATCCAGATCCATGAAATATTTCCCGGGAAGGGGGGCCCCTCCACACCCCACACCTAAAACAGCAAACCCAAGCGTTGACTTGTAAATTTATTTTGGCACAGCTGTGATGAACAGTAATTGCTTTTTCTTGCTGCCGCCGCTAAAGAAAGCAATGAAAGCGGCTGAAATACGATGGCGTCATGTCGGAATTTAATTAAAGGTAATGGGGCAGTGGTGCTGAAGGTGCTGAGGGCTGGCCACGTGCCACGGTTTGGTGATGGATGTGTGACACTGGGGTGTAGGACACGCCGTGTTCCCTCAGGAATGGCACCTGTGGGGACAGGGAGGCTCCAGAGGAGCACAAAGCTGAAAGAGCTGAGCTGTGCCTTCCCGACATAAATCACAGAATCCCAGAGTCAGTGAGGCTGGGAAATCCCTGCAACACCATTGAGTCCAAGCTGTGACCGATCCCCCACCTGAGTGCCATGTCCAGTCTTCCTTGGACACCCCAGGGATGGGGACTCCAAACCTCCTTGAGCAGCCCCTTGCAATGCTAGCAACCCTTTCCATGGAGAAATTCCTCCTGATGTCCAACCTGACCCTCGCCTGTCACTAATGCTTCTTTCAGGAACCCTCTTCCTTAGCAGGTCCCCAAAGCTCACCTCACCTCACTCTTCCCAATTTATCCAAGAAAGCAGCAGCAAGATGCTGAGATTTGTTTGTCAGGTTGGCAACAGCAAATACATCCTCAGCAGAGGCCAGGGAGCCCATTAAAAGAGCAAACTCAGCTGTGCTGGGAAGTGTGAATGCGCTAAGCTGAGCTTCCTCAGTGTTCCTCTGCCAGCTCATGATGTGGAGAGGGGTCTAATGTAAATAAAAAAATTCCAATTTGCTCCTATCACACAGATCCTGCGAGCTCACAGCTCTCACTTTGCAGAAGCTCTGCCTGGGCATGCAGCTGCGCGCTGGCTGAGCTGGTGCAAATCTGGGAATTAAATGAACTCACCTTTTTCTGGAGAAAACAGCAACAAAAGCCCAAACCCATCCCTTCAACTTTTGATTCTGCCCATCATGGGAATTACCCCAGGCCCAGCAGCCCCATTGCACAATCTTTGGAGGGGAAGACATGGGATTGGTGTTGGACAAGTGGAGGACGGGGAAAGGCTGTGATTCCTCCTCAGAAGGAGGTTGGCAGCACCAAAGCTCAGCAGGATCAGGTGCCTATTCTTTGTGGAGAGAAATCCACGACCCCTTTGCCTTCCTCCCTGTGGGAGAATCCCTGCCTTCCCTGGAAGGCCTGTGGCCTCCACAAGGAAGGCAGCAGGAACAGAAGTGTCAGACCCTATATTCCCATGGGCAATCTTTGTTCCCATTCCCTGCCCAGAGTGCCAATGCTGAATTTGACAGTGGATTTTCTATTTTTGCAGCCCCTCCATCATCCTCGTAGCTCTGAGAGCACCAAGCGGTGCCGAGGCTGCAGATGGGCTCGGCAAAAAGCGTTTCTTGGCTGGAAACAGCCGGAGCTGGCTGTGGGAAGCTGGGAGAGCACGGAGGGACAGCCTCCACCTTCCCTGCAAGCCCAGAAGCCGCCTCAGAGCTGCTGGCAGGAGCTCTGATGCCAGAGGAGCAGACACGCCGCGCCGGCTGCTCCGGTTCTGGCAGCCTGGGGACAGGGCTGGTGTGAGCAGAGCCCTGGGAACGGATCCGTGCCGGAGCAGGGAATGGCTGCACCCCAAACCCGCAGCTGAACCCTTCCACCGCTGACTGATGGGCTGCTGAAACCCTGAGTCCCCCCCTCCTCCTTATCTGTGGCTTTTGGGTGACTGCCCTGCACATGGCACCCAGGGAAGTGTCAGGGCTTTCTTGGGAGCCGACTGTGCCCGTTTGTCACCCTGTCACTCACAGCCACAGCACAGGTGTGACCCAGGAGCCCTCATCCGCCTGCCCGTCCTGAGGAAGTCAGAGGTGACTCCATTCCCTTCCCTCCTCTTTCCCCCAACTGTTGGGCTGCTCATCCCACCATGAAATTCTTGTTTGGTTTCTGGAGCAGCGGATTCTTCCTGCCTGTCTGCATGGGAAAATGGAGATCTGTCCTGAAACCTGGAGAACACTTCCTTCTTACCCCAAACCAGAGCCCTGACAGCCTGGAGGGGGCTGGTTGGGGTCCCTCCATCTCTTTCCAGTGGAAACATTTCTGTTTCTCCTGCTCAGGCCCCTGAGGGTGGAAGGGATTTACTCCCAAAAGTTGAAGATGTACTTTGCTGCCTGTTTGGAACCACAGTTGGTGCTGCAGGACAGACAGGAGTTCCTGTGGTCTCTGTCACAACCAGCCATTTCATCCTGAGCTCATTTATAACTGGGACAACTGGGACGAGCCACTGGAAAATCCATGGCGGGGGTCAAAGCTGGCCCTTGCTGATGCAGCTTGTCTGGGTCCAAGGGTAAGAGCAGAGTCCTTCTGATGGATCTCCCTCTGGAATTTTCCACAGAGTCAGCCCCACCATCACCCCAGTGGGAAATGGTCCAGGGAGCAAATCCAAGAGGCTCATGTTCACTTTCTTTCCATCACTGGAAAACTTTCCTTCCCGGATGGCACAGGGGAGGTGTTGGCCTGAAAAACGATGGGAGTGAAGGAGCTGGGAAAAGGGCACACTGGAGGGACAGCTCTGACCCACAGTGGAGCTTATGGAGGGGGTTTGGGGGCAGATTTCCCTTTGAGGGGGAATTCTTTGTTTTCATGTGGCAAAATCAAACCTGGAATAAAGGTTTGGGTGTCTGTGAAGTAACAAGGCAAGAGGTGTCCTCTGAAGCAAAGAAGACTCTGACCTTGCTGCACACTGGTGTAAATGTGGCACAGCTCCTCCTGTGATTGCCATGCCAGCTCTTCCATGGATATCACCCCTCTGCAGATGGAGCTCCTGCAGCCCAGACTGCTCTCACTCCCAGCCTAATGGAATGTGTTATTTCCCATCTCCCTCCCACTCAGAGTCATTACAGAGCTTCCACAGCTCACACTGCCTCAGCATTACTGGGAGCTTCCTGGAGCTGATCAGTCCCTGGACAAGGAGCGTGCCTTTGGATCAAACATTAGAGCTGTAATCCACTGCATGCTGCCTCTTCCATTACCCATTGGGAGCTTTCTCCTCTCCCCAGGGCTGCTTACGGCAGAGTGCTCCGAGGGGTGTTGTTCCAGCACAAACAGAGCTCTTGGAATGAGCTCAGCAAGAACAGAACTCCTGTTAGGTTGGGAGGATAAAATTGGATTGGAAATGGATATATTCACGTACATGCCATTGATCTCATCCATCCGTACTTTACATATGTTGGATTTCCTGCTGCCAGCAGAGAGGAGTAGCTCTCAGATAAGCCAAAGGTATGGAAATGGAGAGCAGGATGTTCAAGTGGAATTAGGATTTCACCTTGGAGTGTGTTTGAGAGGCAGGAGAAAGGGCAGAGTGCGGTTCCCTCACACTGTGCCTGGCACAGCTGCTCCTCACTGTGCTGGTGGATTTACAGCACCAGGCTGATAGGAGGGGTTTGGGCCCAGGGAGAGGCTGCCCAACAGGGCTCCAGCGTTCCCCAGCAGTGTGGGAATGTGCCAGAGCATCCTCCTGGAGCAGGGAACTGAGTTAGGGACACCCAGGTCCCCCCCTTTTGTCACCAGTTTGGGCAGGATATCTGGTAAAGGTTTGCCTCAGTTTCCCTCATTGCTAAAAGGAAGGGCTAAGACTTAATACTCCTCGAAGATTGATGCCTCAGGCTCTGACACACACTTTCACAGAATCTCAGAATCCTTGAGGTTGGAAAATCCCTCCAGGATCATCAAGTCCAACCTGTGCCAAATCCCCACCCTGAGCACTGTGTGCCACCTCCAGGGATGGGCACTCCAAACCCCCCTGGGCAGCCCCTTCCAGCCCTTTCCAGGAGGAAATTCCTGCTGATGTCCAACCTGAGCCTCCCCAGCCCAGCCTGAGGCCGTTCCCTCTCCTCCTGTCCCTGTTCCCTGGGACAAGATAGAAATCCCCCCCAGCTGTCCCCTCCTGGCAGGGAGTTGTGCAGAGCCACAAATTCCCCCTGAGCCTCCTTTGCTCCAGGCTGAGCCTCTTCCCAGCTCCCTCAGCTCCTCACAGGACTCTCAGAGCAGTGCTCAGGAAAACAGGGGTGTTCTCCAAAACCTGGAGCCTTTCCTCTCTTCTTTCCCACACTGAGCACTCCCCATCTGTTTGAGAGGCTTGCAGGACAGAATACACAAATCCTCCTTTTAATTACGTTGCACATTTATTATCTCACCTCAGATTTTGTTAATCTCTCTCACAAATTTCGTTTACATAAGTGGAGTCTTTCAGCTTGAGCAGCTCCAGCACTTTCTCTTCTGATCCTGCAGATATCAGTCAGCTAAATAGAAAAGAGAGAAAAGCACAAGTGTCCTTAAATCTGGCATTCAGTCTTTCCAGAGCTTTACATGTTGTTTCCTCCTCCTCAGCTCCCCAGCTGAAAGCTCAGAGGCAAACTGGGATCAGCACAGGCAGAGCAGAGCAATCCCACAGGGAGAGTGGGACCCTCTTTCCTGGGCTTAAACATCCCAGAAAAGGCCAAGGCACAGGGACAGCGCCATCCCACCATCCCTCAACCTGCAGGCAGGAAGAGCTGCACAACAACCTGCCCCTGGATATTTGCTGCTGCAATTCCCACACACCATTTCCCAAAGGAAAAGGAGGATTTGCAGCAAATTGCAGTGTAATTAAGTGTCAGTGTTAAGCCCCCGTGCAGGCAGCGAGGTGTTCCAAGCTGGCTGCACATGCTGAGCTCCCTCACAGGTACAGTTGCTGTTATAAGCTCTGCTGGAAATTGTTCCCTGGAGACTGAGGACTTTTTGGGGGGGGAGGAGGAGCAGGGAAGTGGCAAACAGAGTTGCTGGGAAGGGTTGTGCTGCTTCCAGTCAATATCAGCTCTGGGCAGCACCTTACGAGGGAATAACCTTCCCAGAAAGATGCACACGGGAGCGGTTGGGATCTGAGGGCTCCACAAAGTGAGCAAACATGACACAAAAACCCTTCTGGGGAATATAAATATCTCTGTGCTGATGAGCTGGTGAGAAGAAGGAAAGGCAGAATTCCCAAGGCAGAAATCAACCCTCTGACAGTACCATCTGGGGTGTCCTGTAACAGCTCTGCCAGCAGTTTCTCCAGGACATCTTGGTATTTTTCCAGCTGCCTTGGGGTGAGCCAAGCTCTGACAGGAAGGGCTTGCTGTGGAGGAAACCAGAGAAGTCAGAACAAAAAGGTGAGGGGAGCAGAGGGAGGGAGGTTGGGGTACTTTGACCCCACTTGGACTGAGTTAGTGAAGGGTTTAGAATCTGGAGGGAAGAGGATGAGCCTCATATGGGGAAAAGCAACATTTTGAAGGCAACACACTCTTGAGTTGTTCAGAGCGCTGTTGCATAACCCGTGGGCTGGCTCAGAAATCCAGATAAAGGCACCTCCTGGCAGCAGGGATGCAAAGAAAATAATTTCTGAACCTTCTAATCCTCCACTGTGTGGCACATCGACCCTTCCAGCCTGAGCCTGCAGAGCTCCTGCCCTAGCAACAGCTGAGGACTTGGAGCCAGCCGTGCCTGAAGCAAAGAGCTCTGTTCTGGTGCTGGCCAGCTGAGGGGATGTGCTGGGTATTTCACACTTTGAACTGGGCATTTTGCTGTTTAAATCCTGTTACGGAGTGCTGGTGCATCACGAGTGCGGGAGGAGTTGCACATTTAGCTGTGCCTTGGCCAAATTCCAGCCTGGTTGGCCCTGCTGTCTGTCCCATGGGGTCTGTCCCTGTTTAGGGGGATCTGCACCGTCCTTTTGCTGGCAGGGAATGGCCGAGCTCCCTGCAGGAGTGGCTGCCCACACAGGGAAAACATTCCCTGTGCTCAAGTGGCAAAGCACAATTTTCAGACTTGGCTTGCCAGATAAGTCTGCCTTTGAGGGCTTAGCCTGGCACTTCAATCCCTAAAATTGCCCATTTTCTGCTCTGTGTACAGACTTGGAGCCCAGGTTTTTAAATAAGACCTCTCCAGTGCAGAGAACTGTGGGGTCAGAGGTGACACGGAGCAGGAGCTGAAGCAGAACTGGGAGTTCCTGCCTTGCACCTGCTGGGCTTCACTGCCTGGCAGAGACCTCAGGCTGTTCCCATCTTCCTCAGGGAGAAGCTGTTGGGTCTCAGGGGTGACCTGGCTGCTGAACAACCAAGATAACTTGGAGTGGAGCTAAAACTTCTCTCTGATGTAAGCAATCAGGCTGGCAGAGGACATCTCTTGGACTCCTTGTCCCAGTGGCTCCACATACCTGGAGGGTCTTGGCTGCATTGACATCCACACCAGATTGCTCAGAGAAACCTTCCTCCTCCAGCTGCTGCAGCAAGCTCAGGGATTTCTTCTGCCCTGCCTTGTTCCTCTCCTTTTCCTGCAGCTTCGGAGCAGAGGGCAGAGGGGGCAGTTGGTGATGCTGGGATCAGCAGCAAACCCCCTCTGTGCTGTCCCAACAGCCAGCAATCCACGGTGCTGGGCACAGAACCAGTGAGGTGGTGGAATCCTCCTGGGAAAGACCCATCTGCTCTGCCCTGAGTGGCCTTTGGGGACTGAAATCCAGCAGTGCTGGGGGCGAGGTCAGGTTACGGGGCAGGGTGTGAAGGTCTGCAGTAAACAGGAGCCACGTGTGGTGGGGGAACCCTGTCAGCAGGACACGGGAGCTGACAGCACTGGGACCTTCCCCAGCTGTCCCACAGAGCCTGGCCTGGGTCTGTGCTGGAGCACTGCAAGGAAATTGAACCGAGCCCTGCATTTGCAGAGGTCACGTTTGCCCAGACTTTCTGCAGGTTTGTGATGTCAGCCCATCCCCATTTATTTAGTTGCCTTCAGAACCCTCTGGAAAAAGCTAGATGTGCTTTGGAACACGACAGACACAGCAGGACACGTCAAGTGTGGCACAGACCGTGCTCAGTGTCCAGCATGTGAGGAACAGGGACAGATCTCCCCTTTGTTCATCCAGAAACTCCCAATCCCTGCTGTAAAAGGGCTGTGGGGTACAAACACAACCCATGTGGGTCCCCATCCTCCTCAAGGACTTTGAAGAATGCCTGTGCTCCCCACAAAAAGCAATCGTTATCCAGGGGTAGGTGTTGGAAATGGGATTTCTCCCGGCACCCAGGGGCTCGGCAGTGCGGGGGAAGCTCACTGGGGCTGTGTTTCAGAAGCTGCCGTCTCTGAGCCTGCCTGACACCTTTCAACGGTATTTGTTTCACTTCAAAAGGAAAAACGTTCTCTCGGCACGTCCCAGAGGTGACAACCAGCCGGGGATGGTTAATTATTTGTTACAACAAAAGAGCCATCACTGAGCTGATGGGAGGCTGCAGCTGCTCTGGAAGAATTCCAGCACCAGGAGAGGGAAAGGACACGCAGGGACTGCAGGTGACACCCCAAAAGGTATGGCAGACCTTTGGTAGGGGGGTCCAGGCTCTTCCTTTCTATCTCACAACTTAAAAATTCCCTCTGCCTCCCCCAAGAGCCGTGGATTTTGGGAGAAGGATATCAGAGTGTCTCCTGTTGATGGGCGTGCACTGCAGTTTGGGGGATGAGGGCGGGAGAAACCTTTCCTGGTTTATTCATTCCAGAGGGGTTACCTGCATTTTCTGGAAGTCACTCTGGGTGAAAAAGGGCATGAAGCCTTGGGTCTGCTCAGCCAGCACGGACAGCAGGGACACCAGCAGCAGACTGGCCACCACCTTCCTCGAAACCATCCCGAGAGCCTGCACAACACAGGAAAGGAGACACCAGGGCAGGAATGGAGAGGGAGGTGTGACAAGAAACGCCTTTGGCTCTGCACCAGCTGCACCCCAGCTCAGCCCCAGCCCACCTAAGGGATATTAACTCTTCCAGTTGCTCCTGAGCTGAAAATAGAAGTGCCTTGACTGAGAAGTGCCTTGACTGACAATTCTCTTCTCAAAGCTGTTTGTGTAAACAGATTTGTTCTTGAGCAACATCTCCAGGGATTTCAAGCCCAGCCCCTCAGGACTGCTCAAGCCTCCCTGAGCCCTCGAGCCTCAGCCCTGCAGCTGTGTTGGTTTAAGACCTGAACACATCCAGAGCAAACCCATCAATCCCAGTGCCAGCACGGCAGACAGAGATGCCATGCAAAGAGAAAATCCTTCAAACAGCTGTTTTTTTTAATTTTTATTTTGATTTTCCTCACCACTGGAAACCTTCCTGAGTGGAGTGGATCTCTTAAGAAGCCTCATTGAGTCCAAGGGAAATGGGAAAAGCATTTTCCAGCCCAGCTCTGTCTGAGCCTGGAATAAAGGGCTTTAAAAACCACCTCTGAAGTGATCTAACTGTGACTTCACGTCAGGAAAGGACTTATGTAAACATTGAATGTTCTCTTTAAATATTAAAATATTCTCTCTGGACAGACTTAATGAAGTCTGGTCCTACAGCTTAACTTCTCCACCTGATTGGAGCCTGATCCTTAATGAGTTTCAGCAACCTCTTGGTTTGGACATTATTGAGAAGACATTGTTAAGTTAGATTTGACTCCTGAATTAGATTTCCCATAAATATTAGCTGCTATTGAACCGAGGGCCAGTGGAAGTTAATAAATGTTCCCTTTCCATAGCACCTGTCAGTCACATCCTCCCCTCTCCCTTCCCTGGGCACTGCACTGGTGCCATCTCCCCCTGCCCACCCAGACTGGGCCACCAGAGCCACCTCCTGCCCTGGGACATCCCAGGGTGTCCCAGCCCTGTTTCCTGCAGAGATCCAGGCAGGAATTCTCAGGCTCTGCCCTTGCAATGCAACCTCAGCAGCATCAATCTTTGGTGCTTTTTCATTTGTTCTATCACTGCAGTAAATATATAAATAAATAAAATACTGCTGAATACAAAGAAAATTTACCCAGTCACTTCCTTCATCTCTTCTTGCCTAATCCCTTTGGGAATTGATTCTCTCCTTCTTCTCCCAGAAAAACACCCACACAGACCTCTCCACTCAGAAACAGCCCTGCTGAAAGCCCTCCCTTGCTTGGCAAGCAGGACCTGTATTCCTGCCCCTAGCTCAGCACCTCTCCAGGCAGAGAGCACTTGGTGGATTTGCTTCCCAGCTCCAAAGGGGAAAGAAAAAAGCAGAAGGATCCCGAGTTCAGCATCAGCACTGCGGGCACACAGGGCTGGGACAGCTCTGCTCACCCCCCAAAACCCAGTCAAGTGCCAGCGTGGGGGCAGGAGGAGTGGGCACAGTGACAGGACAGGAAAACCCAACTATTCCTAGCACTGGGACCTGTCTGAGGGTCATTTTCTGCCTGCTCAGAGCAGCTCCCCCAGCTCAGAGGGCACCAGGGCTCCCCACAGCTCTGTGGCAGTGCCCAGTGTCTGCCAGCTGCCACAGGAGGCAGGAGCTGCTGAAATCAGTGCTCCTGAGATGGGGATGAGGGAAAAGCACCTTCCCCCTTGTTTCAGCACCAATTTTGTTCCCTCCTCCTCCTCTGAGCTGGCTCTGCTGTGGCCAAGAGGTGCCAAGACCTACCTGAGAGTGCAGCCACAGGACACTGGAGGTCGGAGCTCTTCTCCCTCCTGTCACACCTGGATGCTCCTGCTGGTTCTGCTCCCTTTATAAACCCATCCAGGCACTGCAGCCACTCACCTGTGACCCTGTCCAGCTTCCTGGCCTGCATGGAAACGGCTTTCCCAGGCAGGGAATGTTATCTGCACTGGAGTTTTCGGAGTTCCTCGTTTCCAGGCAGATCCCCTCTGCTCCCTCCCCAGGTCCTTCAGCTGTTCCTGGTGGTCCCACAGCTGAGGCAGATCAGTTGCTGCCTTAGTTTCTCCATCTAAGAGAAATTCCTCTCTCCTGCCTTCTGTTTCTAGACATTGAGCCTGCAGAACGAGTTTTTTAGGATGTGAATGTCCCAGCACTACAACGTCACCTGTGTCAATTCTATTTCTACTGTAACTGCAAATCACAATAATATCAAAATTGCCACTTTGAGTCTTCAAGTGGCCCCTTCTCCCATCCTCACTGAGCGTGGCACACTGATCCCCTCGGGAACACAAACCCTGCACTGTCATCCCTCTCCAGACAAACGAGGTGCTGAGAGAGGGAGGAAATTGTGCAAGAACTCATCCGTGCTCTCCCGGGACCATCAGCCAGGAGCTGATGCCAGAGGATTTGGGATCAGGCCAGGCACATCCTGAGGGAGTCTGGGAGCAGCCAGGCAAGGAGCAGGAGGGAAAAACGAGTTGGGAAGCCATGAAATCCTCCTGCATCCACGGGCTCCATGGGCTGGGAGAGCAGGGAGCATTCCTGCCTGCCCGGGGAGGGATATGGAACAGCAATTGCCCAGCCCGGGAATGGCATTGTCACCTGGGAATGCCATTTGCCACCTGGAAATAACATTTGTCACCTGGGAATGGCATTTGTCATCTGGGAATGCCGTTTTCACCTGGCCCCATCGCAGCCAGTCAATAGGACACGGGCACAGCAGGTGTCACCAGGGACCTGCTGCTGTCACAGCTGTCAATAACGCTCGATTTGGGACAGAGCCCTCCTGAAAAACCTCGTGTCCAGCACTCAGGTGCTTCCTGGATCCCTGGGCATCCTCCCCAGCTTATCACCCCCTGGGCAGTGGAAAGCTCCCAGGGACTCCAGCACAGCTTTGCTCCCTGGAAACCTCCCTGGGAATGTGGCTGGGGGTGATGGAAAGGATGTCACCCACACAGTGTGGGGTGATCCCTCCCTTCCCTAAACAATTTGCACAAGCCCCATTCAATTCCCATTTTAATTGACTTTTCCAGTCCTTTTCTTCGCATGGTTATGATGGATGCAGCTGACGAGTCAGCAGATGGTGCTGGGAAGTGACAAATTAGTTACCAAGAAAGGTCACTTTTCCAAAGCACTAAACTTCCCCGTGTCTTGTCCCACTGTCCCTCCAAGACGTGTCAGGCTGGCAGCTTTCCATCCATCTGGGATGGAGCCTTCTGCCTGGGGAAGGACAACCTTCCAAATCAAACAGAGGGATGAAAATTAATCATATCTGTATTAGCTGCATGCAGCCTGCCAGCTTCACCTCTTAATTATGCAAGACTGCTCCGACAGGAAGGAATCGTGGAGCTGAAAAGAAAGGATTTGACTCCAGGTCTGGAAGTGCCAGGGCAGGTGGGAGCAACAGGCACCTCCTGGCTCTGGCTTGGCCCAGTCCATAAATGCAGCTTTTGGCACATCCTGGCTGCAAAACAAGGATAAATGAAAATAAAAAATCCCAGCTGGAGGTCTCCCTGCCAGCGCTGTAATTCCAAAATTCCATCCTGCTGCATCCCTGGCACAGTTTGCAACCTGCAGCCCCCGAAACTCCCCTTTGGGCTGTGGTGCCAAGTGGCAGCAGAGGTTGGAGGCTCAACAGAGCCACGATGTGCAAGACAGGTTTGAGTGCAGTTCTGCTTGCTCTGAAAGTGAAACATTTGGCATAACTGGGAGTCGTTTTCCCAGGAAACTGGCAGTGGAGTGCAGTCCACTGGGCCTGGCAGCAGAGGCAGTGCCAAGGAACAAGGGGCAGAACGAGCTGCCTGTGCCAGCAGCACACCAAAGCCTCTCTGGAAGCCAGCTCTGAGGTGACCTGTGCACCCCAAAACTGGGGAAATTCTGCCTGTTTCCTCAGTTTTCCATGAAAGAATAAAAGAGGAGGAAAATGGTTTCCTGGACAGAGCCTGGGTGGATTTGGCTTCTCTACAAGGGCTGGAGGGGGCAGGCACTGACCAAAACATCCTATCCCATAACAATCCTCTTTCACTGGGATTAAAAAAAAACAAAACATTTTTTAAAATCCCTTTTTCTAATAAAATAAATGTCTGAGCTTATAAAAACTTCCTCTTCTCTCAAATAAGGAAAGAAATAAACAGGAGAAAAATGTTTCATTGCCTGGTTTCTCTACATTTTCGGTCACTCCTTTGCCACCCTCTCCCCGATCTGGAAGAAGTGAAGAGAGAAAGGAGAGGAGGTGAGAAAACACGATGGGATGCAGCTCAGCTGTTCCCATTTTGGTTTTCAAATCCGAGCCACCCGGTTTTCACTTGAGGGATCAGGAATATTTTTAGGAATGATACAAAATTCAGCCTCACACTCAGGGAGGGGATGTGACACTGGTTTGTCCCGTGGGGCTGGGTGACATCCCTGGGCACCCCACTGTCCTTTTGGGGTGCCGTGACCCCAGGCGGGTGATGGGAGAGCCCAGCCAAGCTCAGAGGCAGGGAAATCACTCAGATTTCAGCCAAAGAAATCCCTGCCCTGCTCCCAGGGATGAAAATCCAGCCCGGTGCAGGTGGAGGGCTCGGGTAAGGCCGGGCTCGCTGCAGGCAGGTGGGAAAGGGGAGGAGGGAGAGAGATCCAAGCACCGGGATCTGCCCGCGCTCACCATGGACAGCGGCCACTCCTGGGCACATCGAGGGAAAGAGGGGCAGGGAGAACAACGGGGGCGAGAAAAGGAGGGAAAGAAAGGCAGGAAAAATAATTGGAGGGTGAGAAGAGGAGCGAAAGAAAGAAGAGGAGGGAAAGAAAGGCAGGAAAAATAACTGGAGGGGAAGAAAAGGAGGGAAAGAAAGAAGAGGAGGGAAAGAAAGGCAGGAAAAAAAACTGGAGGGTGAGAATAGGAGGGAAAGAGAGAAGAGGGGGGAAATAAAGGCAGGAAAAATAATTGGAGGGGAAGAAAAGGAGGGAAAGAAAGAAGAGGAAGGAAAGAAGGGTAGGAAAAATAATTGGAGGGGAAGAAAAGGAGGGAAAGAAGGGAAGGGAAAACAACTGGAGGGGAAGAAAAGGAGGGAAAGAAAGAAGAGGAGCACAAAGAAGGGCAGGAAAAACACCTGAGGGGAAGGAAAGGAGGGAAAGAAAGAAGAGGAGGGGAAGAAAAGGAGGGAAAGAAAGAAGAGGAGTGAAAGAAGGGCAGGAAAAATAACTGGAGGGGAAGAAAAGGAGGGAAAGAAAGAAGAGGAAGGAAAGAAGGGTAGGAAAAATAATTGGAGGGGAAGAAAAGGAGGGAAAGAAGGGAAGGGAAAACAACTGGAGGGGAAGAAAAGGAGGGAAAGAAAGAAGAGGAGCACAAAGAAGGGCAGGAAAAACAACTCGGGGGGAAGAAAAGGAGGGAAAAAAGAGAGGGAAAGAAGAGCAGGGGAAACAAGCAGAAGGAAGAAGAAGAGGAAAATGAAGAAAGGAGGGAAAGAAGGGCAGGAAAAACAATTGCGGGGAAAGAAGAGGAGGGACAAAAAGAGAGGGAAAGAAGAGCAGGGAAAACAATTGTGTGGAGAATTAAAGGATGGAAAGAAAGAAGAGGGGGGACAGAAGGGGTCCAGCATGGTTGTGCTCAGCAGTGCCAGCTGCCAGCAGATTTCCCAAGACTGGATGATGCCAGATTCCCAGGATTTATTGGTGCTCTCACTGGAGTCTCCCTGTTCATCCCAGCACCTCTCAGCAATCAGTGGCCATTTATCTGCCACAGAGGAGAAGGGTTCTGGCTCTCAAGGCACCAATTCATCCTGGGAGGAACAAGGAGGCAGAGTTGGATGGCTTCAGGGTGAAAAAGAGGCTCATGTGGCAGGTCAATGAGCTCCTGGGTGAGGAATCCCAGGAGAGACTGGGGAGAAGAACTGCAGCACATCCATCCCAGCTGGGATATGGGAAAAACAGAATGGAAAATTGTGACAGCAGCAGAAAGATCTGCAGAGCCTCGGGGCCTGTGCAGCCAGGCCTGATCCCAGCACAGGGCTCACTT